AATAAATTTTATTGTAATATTTAAATTTTTAAAACATTTAATATTTTACTTTTAAACTTTTTTTTATTTCAAATATGATCAAAGTCAAATTGGGCAAAGGGATTATTAAAAATTAAATTGACGATGAGAAATAGCATTTAACACAAATACAACATTTCGCAATTGCTCATAATTTGAAATATAATAACGAAAGTTCAAATTTTATAATTAACTATTAGTCTTTTATATCTAATTGTATTTATTAATTATAATTTCTATTCATATTTATGTATTATATGATGTTTTTTTCTACATTTAATAAAAGTTCAAATACATCAAATGAACTTGTTTTTAAATTATTTTAACAAAACTAAAAAAAATTAACATTTAAAAATTAAATTTTAGAAAATTAAAAACTTTAAAAACAATGAAAAAAAGAGAAAAACATAAATTCGTTAGGGTAGTATATATACTTAAATAAATATATAATTAAAGGGAAAAAAAGTTATTAAATATATTATTTTAGTTCATATAATTTTTAATATATTTTTATTTCTTTCTAAATATATAATTATTTTTAAAATTTTATAAAATTATTTAAAAATAATTTTAAAAAAAGATAACTTAAGTTCGTTAGGGTAGTAATATATACTTAAATAAATATATAATTAAAGGGGGAAAAGGTTATTAAATATATCATTTTTAGTGCATATAATTTTTAATAAATATTTTTATCAAATTAAATTTTATAAAATTAATAAACCTAAAACAATGAAATGTAAGATAAACATAAGTTCGTTAGGGTAGTAATATTTACTTAAATAAATATTTAATTGAAGGGGGAAATAAAAGTTATTAAATATATTATTTTAGTTCATATAATTTTTAATCCCCAAAATACTACCTTCAGCCCTATCGTGGCGGGGGAGTGGCAAAGTCATTTGACGGCTAATGGAGGTCTAAAAGATTCCCTGTGGTCTGGGTATGGGCTGAGGTGATAGAGACCTTTCGGTCGGAAGACAGGGTGTATCACAGATTACTGGGATAGAATAAGGTTTTAGGAGCAAGATGGGGAGAAGTAGTCGATGTATTGCATAGAAGGTATATAATTAAAGTCTGTGTGAGGAAAACTGAAAATGTATGTGGATGGATAAAATGGCCGCCTTTACATAAGGAGATATGGTGGCGGAATCAGGAAGTAGGAAAAGCTGCTGTGGACGAGAAACGCAGATTGTTCAAAAAATATAATAATAAAGAAAATAGTCATAACGATATTTACAAGGTGACCAAAAGAAATGCTAAGAATTCAATAACAAAAAGGCAGGTAAAAAAAAGGTGAGTTTGCTAAAGAAATGAATGTGGGAAATGCGGTATGAATGGCAAAAAAGAGGCAGGATGTGGTAGGTGTTAAATATTTAAAAAATCTGCTGGAAGATCTACTTGGAAGGACTTTTGAACGAAGAGAATGAATGGGATAATGATGTTAGTTGTGCAAAGATAGAAGGTCCATGGTGTAAATTTGGTAAGGACAAATAAGAGAGCAGTGAAAATATGAGGTTCTGATAATTTAGAATTGATTTGTTAATGACTTAAGCCAATCAGCACATAAGGAAATATTACCGAGGATTGGCAAAGAAGTATAATCACTCCAGTATTCAAAGGGAAACTATCCTATAGATTGTATTATAAATCTTGGAAACTGTACTCTTACAAAAAAAATTGATACATTGAATTATAAATAAAATTCATTTTTTTTAACCCTTTCATGCATAGAATAAATGGGTTATATTTGTTATGACGGATTTTTTAAACATTTTTTTGAAGATAGATTATAATAACCATTTGCTCATTCATTTCAAAAATCTTTTTGATAAGAGAAAAATATGTTTTAAAAACATTTAAGGTGGGTTAGATTGTGTATTATCATACACAATGTTGCCTCAAAAGTGAGTTATATTTTGGCTTGGTAAGATTAAAGAAGATAAATATGTAGTAGCGCCCATTAGTTTGTATTATTTTAGAAATTTATATTAAATTTAGTTACTTTTTGAAATTTTTTTTTAATTCTTAAGGATGATGGGTCATAGATCAAAATATCCTAAACACGTAAATTTTATTTTATTTTTAATTAAAATAAATAATTTTTTTTAAATACAATGAATTCCATAAATTATATGAATAATAATTATCATTGCAATATCTTTAATCATAATAAAACAAAATATTGTTATAAATTTCAAGATTCATCAAAATATAGACTATGGAGAACTTCGCATGGTTTTTAGTATGGCGACAAAGATAACAATTATCTTTTCGTGTATAAATCAGATTTTTCAAAGTTTCACCTTATTTTTTGTTTATTTAAAATAAAAATTGCTTAATATCATATTTATCAATAGTTTAATTTATATTTAGTTACAGAAAATTTATATATTAAATCGAAGACAAGAGTACTATGAAGAAATTTTAAGAAGAAAATAAACTTGTATTAAAAATAGATTAATATTTTAAAAGCCAAATATATAGAGGTATTATGATTAGAGTTATTTCTAATTATAAATAATCTACATTTTTTTGACAAACCATAACTGTTATTTACAATGATCAAAAAATTAATGTGAAAGCTATCAAAAAATTTAAAAAAATTAAAAATCGAAGTGCATAGCAATATGATATAGAACTAAATATAAATATCAAACCTAAATCGATAATCTCAGAGAATTAAAATAAGTTAAAAATGTCCCTAAATAAATAAAATCTAATAATATTCTATTCAATTTAACTTGTGGTAAATTTTTTATATGAGGAAATTATAAGAAATACCATTATGCTGTATAATGTAAGAAACATTATATGCTAAAGAAAATGTAATTTTAAAACAGCGCCATATTAGTAAACGGTAATAGTAAAATGGAGTTTGAAACGGTAAAATCAATCTAACTGATATACCAATGAAAATCCAAAATTGCAATATCATTTGGAAATAAATAATCGAGATAAAAATTAATTTGAGGCATCATTAGGAAGTGAAATAAAATTTCCATCGTTGTACCTTGAGTAATTTTTTTTTTAAAAAAATATTTGAGAGTTTTATATTTTTGTGGCCAAATCATTAAAGGAAATTATTCTCTGTCTATCCACTTTTTATCTTTAAATTCAAAAGTTTTTTTTTTGGAGGGAAGGGGGGGGGGGGTTGTGAAGTATACCCCCCCCCCATTTTGTTCTTTGAATATTTTAAAAACGGTGATGGTTCAAATCGAACTGAAAACGGTACAAATCAGTCCATAAACCATTGAAAATCAAAAATTGGGGACCATCATTCACCTGATTAAATTAATTAATATCTATTTGTCGAAAACCCCATCTAAATACGTCAATAAATAAATTTTATTGTAATTTTTTAGCTTTTTTTAATAAACTTTGACATTTTATTTTTAAACTTATTTTCAAATATTTCAAGTTTTGAGTAAAATAAAATTTCAATTTATTAAAGATAATTATTGTTTATACACCTATACATCCAACGAACTTGTTTTTAAATTAGTTTAATAAAGTAAAAATGGGCCTGAAAATGTTGTCATTTACAGACCTCTGATAGTAAATGAATTGGAAAATAAAAGTGGCAGGGGATATCATTTATAAATGAATTCTTTGACGGAGGTAAAATCCATTATGATGTCATTCTGACTAGAGGTCTGCAATGGGCAAGTTTTGGTGCACCTGCCTGCTCATTTATTTAGAAATTTTGTTTAACTTACCTGTCCAATGTTTAAAAATTATTATATCAGTTGATTTGGCTCTTTATGTATTATTTTAATAATTTTTACTAAAATTTATAAATTATGAAATAAAATAATAGTATCTAATAATAAATAGAAGTCCTCTACCTGTATCAAAATATATTTTCTTATAATAAAGATCATCTTGAGGAATGAATCCATATCATTAGAAGATGCAAACTTATAAAAACTCTGTGGATAAAAATTTACCAAGTAGTGCTTTGTGGCTTCCATTGTTAATAAAAAACCCTTAAGGAAGGATCCATACCCAGAATCTAATATTCGCATTTTATATGATTACTAGCTGTTTTCCGACAAGAATGACAAGGAATTATGTTAATAGTTTGTTTTTATAAAATAACTAATTGAGTATTAATGTTACATATTGTGTTTATTCAAATTTGTAATTGAGTATTAATTTAAATGTTTTGTTACATATTGTTTTTATTCAAATAATTTATTGACTATTAACTTAAATGTTTTGATTGAAATGTTTTAGCATATATACTAGTTGATTATTGTACATTTTATATATTATTATTATTATTTTATATTTTTAAATTAGAAATAAAATTTATTTAAAACAAAACACAACGTAAATATTTATTATTTCTTTTATGGTGCCCCGGCACGTTTTTGTTTAAAAAAAAAATAAACAAATAATATATATAAAATTTGCCTTAAATTTAAAAAAATAATGAAAAAAGAAAATTAAATTCGAAGGACGTTTTTTTTTTCTTCTATTCTGTGTACATAAATAAAAGGTGAATTGCGTGATCGCAAAATGTTATAATTTACAATTTTACGCCAATTTATATTTTGATACGCTTATTATGCTACAAATTATAGTATATAAAATTATTACGAATAACACATTTTTCATGTCACAGTATTTTCTCTATTTTGATAATCTAAATATAAAGACAAAATACATATTATCTGATTTTCTTTTATAACATAAAATTAGAGATTTAGAATAATCTAGATGTCTTTTAAACTTAAATTTAAAGAATTATCCAACTTCCTTTGACGACTTAAAATTCAACAAGATTGAATTATCTAATTTTTTTTTGACGACTCAAAATTAAAGCATAGGATTTTTTTTTGTGATTTGCTTTAACGATATAAAATTTATAGACATAGAATTATTTAATTCCGTTTGATTATGAACTCAAATTTTTTGTTAGGTATGAAATTCATAACTTAAAACATATAGTATTTTCTTAAAGTGAAATTTTTATTATGGACAATAAACTTACTGCTATATGCGATCCTTATCTTAGATTTCCAGAACTTATTGGAGAAATGACGGACACATACCTTGATATGGTTGATACATACTTTGAGGATTACATTGCGTCTGACGCATCTAAGGTTAGGACATTATTAGGTAACTTATCAATGGACATTATTAGGTAACTTATCAATGGACATTTATGGAAAAATCACATCCGTGTGTTCAAAGGCACAGTTAAAAGATTATAAAGTTATTTTTAATAAACTCAAGTTATTAATTCCGAGGGAAGATATAAATTTATGCATAAAAAATTTCAATTTAGCGGTACAACGCGACGACGAGTCTTTTTACACATTTTTCTATAGAATACATAAATTACATAAGAAGTGCAATTTCATAGATGACAGTAGAATTAAGGAAAAATTGATAACGTCTACTTTAAACGATCATATCAGAAGGAAGCTGAATAAGCATAAGGACTGGACTTTAGATGAGATGATAAAATTGGGACTTGAGTTAGATGGTGGTAATATTAAACAAGACGTTAGCGATACAAATTATGTAGACAATGATAAAAATAAAAAAATTTATAATTCAAATAATGATAAAATACCATGCAAAAGTACTTTTAGTAATAATGAGAATAATTCTAATGATTATGAACGTAATAATTTTAGAGAAAATAATTTTATTGGACGTAACACTCGTAGGGAAAATTTTGATAAGAAGAGGAATTATAATGATTTTAGGCCTACAGATAATGCTAGCCGAAACTATCATAACAATAATTTTCGAGACAGTGAGGGTCTCTATAAATTTTCGTAATAACCAATCTTCGAACAACAATTCAAACAATTACGGAAGAAACTCCATGTGGCACAACAACAATAATGCAAACAATTATGATAGAAACAATGCCTGGCAAAACAATAACAATTCAAACTATAACGGAAGAAACTCCAGGTGGCACGATAATAGCAATTCAAACAATTATGATAGAAATAATGCCTGGCATAATAATAATAACTTTGGGAGAAACATCTTTTGGTCTTACAACAACCAAAGAAATCAGAATCAATATGATGATTGAAATGGTAACCGATATGAGTCTTACAATCATAACAATAATAATAATGGAGGAAATACATGGAAAAACTATAATCTAAGTAAACAAATACAATATCATGATCAGAGCCAAAGTAATAGCAACAATTGCAATATGAATATTGAAGAGATTGTGGAAAATAAAAATGATGTTATACAAAATAATAATGATAGTGATTTTAATATCAACAATTTAACAGAGCACAAACTCCATGACAATGCATTTATGACTTTCTTAAAAGTAAACGATGTTACCGTTACTATGCAAATTGACACTGGTTCTAAGTTCACCATTATACCTCATAAAATGGCTAAACAAATAGGTATTAAAGATCTTAAAAAGTCCACTCTACAACTATCAGCTTATGATGGAAACTTAATTGAAATTATCGGCGTAACTCAAGTTAAAGTAAGCTACGATGGTATCACCAAACACTTGCTAGCAGTGGTAAAGTCTAATAAAAATGCATTATTGGGTCGAATGTGGATCAATGCCTTTAATAATATTTTGAACAAGTTTATAGCAAATATCGATGTCAATTATGAAGATGGAATAAAAAAATTAATAAAAGATTGTGAATTTAAACTGACTAACAAACCCATAAACAAAGTTAACGTCAAGATACATTTACGAAATGATGCCAAACCTAAGATAATACCACCAAGGCGTATACCTTATTCAAAAATAGATGCTGTAACTAAAGAACTTACAAGATGGATTGACGAGGGAGTCATTGAGCCGGGGACGGATGTTCGATGGGCAAGTCCTATAACCGCTGTCTACAAAGAAATTGGGAGCGTTAGGGTTTGCGCCGATTTCAAAGACACTGTTAATCCTGCTCTTGAAGACTTCAGATACCCACTTCCAAGAATAAACGATCTTATAGCTAAGCTTAAGGAAGGGAAGAAATTCAGCAAGATTGATTTCAAAGACGCGTTCTTACAAATCCCTATCGACATAAACTTCAGAAATATACTAACCATATCCACACACAGGGGATACTACCGGTTTACTAGACTTCCTTTTGGGTTAAAGACTTCTTCTGCAGTTTTCCAACAGATTATGGATCAAATTTTCGGTGACATGAAAGATGTCATTTTTTATATTGCCATGAGACCTATTGATAACGGGAAGTAGTGACGAAGCTCATTTCAACAACATAAAAAGAGTTTTTGAAAGAATATTATCTTATGGCTTAGTACCTAATTTTTCAAAAAGCTTATTCTTCAAAAGAAGTCTGAGGTTCTTAGGACACGACATCGACGCCAATGGGATCCACGCTAACCACGACAAGATCGAGGCGATCGTTAGAATGCCGGAACCTAAATCAGCTGCGGAATTGTCTTCTGGGTATGGCGGGCTACTACAGAAAATTTTTGAACAACTTTGCTGAAATAGCTGATCCCTTGTACAAGATTGTCAATAAGGAAAAATGGGAGTGGAATTTAGAACACTCCAAAAGTTTTGATAATCTAAAGACATTGATTAGCCTTCCTCCAGCTTTGACGTACTTTAATCCTGAATTACCTATCGGAATTGCGACTGATGCATCTAAAAGAGGTTTAGGAGCTGTTTTGTTTCACACCGAAAAAGATGGCAAAGAAAAGCCAATAGCTTTTGCCTCGAGAACGTTAGCAAAGTCCGAGATAAATTATACCAATATTGAGCGTGAAGCTCTGGCCATTATGTTTGCTATCAAGAGATTTCAAGAATACTTGATAGGGACTAAGTTCACTATTGTAACGGACCACTAGCCACTAATCCATATTTTCACCAAAGGGCTCAAAGATAATAGCACCATGTCATTGAGGTTACAGAAGTGGATTATAATTTTGGGGGGTTACGACTTTAACATCAGATATAAAGCTGGTAAATACAATGTTGTTCCTGATTGCCTTTCAAGACTACCACAAGTAATTGATGATGACGTTATTGATGATATCGCAATTATAAATGACTTTGGCGATATAGCTCTTAGTTTTGACCGAATACGTGATAAAACATCCAAAGATTTTGAATTATCTGAAGTTATTAATGATATTAAAAATAATGTGCCTATTAAAAACAAAACTTATCAAAATATTGAATATGAACTTAGTATTATCAAAAATTGTCTGTACAAAAGCAACAAAATAATAATTCCAACAAGTCTGAGAAAAAACATATTAAAGGCACTACATGAAGGTCATATGAGAGCAGGTAAAATTAAATCCTTAGCCAGAGACCGCATGTGGTGGTCTGGTATGGTCAACGACATTGATTTGGAAGTTAGAAGTTGCGACGATTGTAATATTTTTCACGACAATCCAAAGAAAATACAAAATCCATGGGTATTGGCAACGAAACCTTTTGAAAGGATTCACGTAGATTATGCGGGTCCATTTTTTACAAAAAATTGGTTAATAATCGTCGATGCCTATAGTAAATTCCCAATCATAGTTCCTGTAAAAAACATCACGACTGAATTCACGTTGAAAGAAATTTTTAGAACTATTTCATTATTTGGCATACCTGAAACCATTGTTACAGATAACGGCACCAACTTTACGAGCAAAGACTTTGAGATATTTTGTAGTAACTATGGAATAAAACATGTACTAACATCCGCCTACCATCAGCAATCTAATGGACAAGCTGAACGGGTGAGAACATTTAAAGCTATGAAAAGAAACATAAAGATTGACTTAGAAACTGCACTGGACAGATTCTTGTTTAACTACAGAAATACACCGAATGATACTACAGGTGTCACACCATCCAAAAGAGTGTTTAACCGCGATATTAGAATAAAGTGGGACTTATTGAAACCATTGGAGGATAAAATTGACAAAGTTAACATATCGCTACCCAGAAATCGAACCTTTAATATAGGAGACTTCGTTTGGTACAAGAAACTGAGCGATGACACATGGTGCAAAGGCAACGTCACTCACAAAGAGAGTGACACCATGTTCCAGGTGAATACGGATAAAGGTTTAGTGAGGAGACATTTGGACCAGTTACGTAAAAGAGAGTGTTTTAATAGATTTAAATATTTTGAAAGTTACCCTAAGAAGTCTTATAAGGAGGGAAGAGTTAAGTGAAAATAATGATACCTTTAAGACCGTTGAGAGTCAAACAAAAACCTTTTCATTTAAAAGATTTTGTAACTTAAATTTTTAAAATAAAATATAAAACGCAAAATTTTATAATACGCGAATATTATATAATAATCTTTGTTGATTTATCATTCTTATGGAATTCTATATATTCATCATTCCATATTACAAAATTTTTATTCTACATCATTCCCTATTCCAAAAATTTTATTCCAAATTCTTTATTCCATTAAAACTTGATCCTTATAATAATGATAACGAATAGCAACTTTTCAAACCTATAAAAACGTATGGACTCACGCCATAGACAGACTTATGCGCCCTCTGAGCAGCAACTTGATGCTTTGTCGAGGAGGGGAATGTTAATAGTGTTGTTTTTATAAAATAACTAATTGAGTATTAATGTTACATATTGTGTTTATTCAAATTTGTAATTGAGTATTAATTTAAATGTTTTGTTACATATTGTGTTTATTCAAATAATTTATTGACTATTAACTTAAATGTTTTGATTGAAATGTTTTAGCATATATACTAGTTGATTATTGTACATTTTATATATTATTATTATTATTTTATATTTTTAAATTAGAAATAAAATTTATTTAAAACAAAACACAACGTAAATATTTATTATTTCTTTTAAATTAGTATTCTCCTTAATTTAAAGATGGATAAATCAGAAATAAGCCTATATGAGGTGTGAATTAGAAATTTACTTTATTTTGATGAGTTAATTCTAATTTTCATTATTCTTATAATATATTTTTGAAGTATATATATGTATATACTTATTGCATTCAATGTGAACAAATATTTGAAACATGTTTGAATATACTTTTTTTTAAATTGTATTAATATCCTTAGTTTTTTAATTTTTATTATTTATGTACTCAATAAAAATTTAATCTTGCTAGATAAGGGTTTTGTATATTGTTACCATGGAAACAGATTTTGGATTTGGCTTATTAAGACTTATTCTTTCAAGAAATTGAAAACTAATTAAGGAAGAGCATCACAGATTGTTCCATCATCAAGATACTAAATATTTATATTCAAATAAAATTTAGATTTAAGATAATAAATGAGGTAATGAATACCAAGGTAAACTAGGACGTGTGTCCTCTGCTGGTTCCTTTTGTCAAAATCTATGACAGGGCTAAATAAAAGACTGTTTAATGTCATAGTATATCTCTAGGAATTTTGAATAATCAGGAAATTTGGAATAAAAACAATTTATGAAATGTTCACGAAATTTGCTATTGAAAGCAATTCTAAAGTTTTTAAATTCTACTTTGATAATAGCTATGTTAGGAGGAGGAGTTTGGATATAATACAAATAGCACGTGAAGCTATTTTGCATTCTCCCTTAACACCAAATCCTAATTGATACGTATACTTAATAAGTTAAGATCCTGAGTTTTGACCCGTGGCAATTGTTTTTGCAAATAACCTTGAAATAGCCCATTGCTATGGGATGGATACCACCACACTGTTTGTGAAACAGGCTTGCCCCTATAATTGATTTTAATTTATGATGGCAGGTCTTTTTTAAAAAAAAAGGTACTTAGGAAGATTTTAATAGCATTTAAATGATGAGATGAATGTAGATTTTATACCGAGTGAGATCTGGATGTGGAAAATTTGTTAAAAGAATTGCTAAATATCATAACTTACAAATCATATTTATTTTTTTCATATTTTCCATAATATATTTGGCCTTTTTCTAAAAATTTATAGAAATTTTAGAAGAACGAATACAGATAATCTATTCCTCTCACTTGACTCTTTTGATTTATCCATCGTCAAATAAAGAAAATTTATCCTCAGTTTTTATAGAATGAGCCTTTTTTTTATTTTTTTTTTTAAAAGAATTATTTGTGTATA